TATGTTTTCCTCTATTTGCTATCATAACGCGAAGTGATACATTTTTTCAACGCTATTTCCTTCTCTGTGTATCATAATTGATAAGTAAATAAAATTGACGATAATTTTTTGTGCCTGGTAAAATATAAAAAATGTTTGAGTCTAATTAATCCCTCGTAATGTCGTCAATGGGAATGACTTTTCCCATTAATTTAATACAAAACATTGGAGATGTGTTTTGGACATTCCAACTCTGTTCCTAACCTAAAAATATACACCACCTCTATCACTTTTCACAATACACAAATAATAACGAACATAAATATTGAAACGATTGAATAGTTAATCTGATCTGCACGTTGGAATGACCGGCTGGGCGCTGTGGAAGCGTTACTGCTGCTGCTGCTGCACCGCAGGGACTCCGTGACGCTGTCGCGGGTGGATGACGACGCAGCCTTCCGCGTCGCTTCGCGTTTGATTATCTCACGGCGAACGGCCGCAGTGAAATTTCATTCACGTGGAAATTCACTTTCGTTAATCGAAAAGTGTCCGCCATTTGTTAATTTTGTTCACGCGAAATCTCGTGGAATTGAACGTCCGTAAATCGAGGGATAACCTGTACTACGCTTGTTTACCTAGGGACGGGCAGTTTGAATCCTAAGCATCGTTTGCAGGAGGGTCCTGCTCAGTTTGGACAGCGTCAGCCCCGTGGCCCACCGCAGAAATCTGTACAAAACATCAGCGAAGGCGGCAAAACTTTGGCAGCACCGATGTATTTGTACATCTTAAGACGAGCCATTTACACGATAACCCCCGCTCGCCTCAAATGGTTACCGTGCTATTCGCTCTTCATGGCCGTGTAAGGAAATTGGAACCCGCTTAAAGTCATGTCGCTGGCGGTGACACCGACAAGTCAAAACGTCTTGGCCCGCGGACCATACGGGCAGTGCTAATGCTGCTGTCTGATCCCGAGTTGAGTAATTTGCTCGTCTTTTTTCAGCAATTGGGATGCTTGGCCAATGCCAGTTATAATGTATGGGGAGGGGGTTGGAGGAAACCAGAGAACCCGGAGGAAAGCCGCGTAGAGCAAGGGGCAGAGCGAGAGAACACAGACTCCACGCAGCAGCAAGGACGCCCGGGAATTGAAGCCGGGTCCTTAACCTTCTCCCTTTGAGGCACAAATGTTTCCACCGTGCCACGCTGCCCCGCCGAATTAGCTCATCGTCGTGTCATCCGAACCCGATGGCAGAAATGTCATAGACACATGAAGTACGTAATCTGTCCTTCATTCCGTCATGTTGATTCGCGTGTTCCCTGAGCTTACTATGGAATGCTTTGGTCCTCATGATGTGTTGTGGTGTTTGTTGGATGATAACTGCACAGAGGCACTCTGTTCCAACGCTCGGCAAGACATGGCGACCTGTGTAGTTTGTTTCCTATGAACGTGGTTGATTGTCACATGAATTTCCACAATTCAATTTTTCATTAATTTAACACGTAGCCTTTCGCAGCCATTATCCTGAATAGATGTTGTTTGGGTTAGATGGTGTAGTTAGAAATGTGCTGTCGCCTGACGGCGTCACGGTACAGAATTGTACATGTTGTGTGTTTACTCTCCAACACTGGTGTGCTGAACTAGTAACGAATTAGCACGTTTTGTTTACGTGACAAACCTTTATTAATCGGCTGTGTCGGGTTGTGGCGCGTTTAACGACACATTTATATTGACGCAATCTAAACCAAAAACAACTATATTATTGTTCATTAATATCGTATTGTTCCTTTCATCGTGCTCCGTTGTGGAAACTAATACATAACTGTAGCTCCTTCAATATTACTTGAAGGTCACGTCTATGGAGTTGTTTATTTTGAATGACCCGTTAAATGCGTGGTGTTTAGCCTGTCATGAAAACCATCCCACGTTTTAACAATAATAAATAATCGCATCCCGAACTTTGTCAGACCATTAGTTGATTAAGGCCTCGGCATCGTATTGACTGCGAGGAAAAGTGGCTTGGGTGAGGCAGATGATAAGAAGGGATGATTGCAGATGGATGGGACTGCCAATGGGATTATCAGCCACAGGAGTTAACGGGACGACCACCGTTGAGATGGAGCGATGAGATCGATTCATGCCAGGTACCGCAAGAACCCACCATGTCCGTCCTGTGCTTGCCGAGCTGCATTGGCTTCTGGTTGCTGAACGAATACAGCGTTATGAGGTTGTGCTTATTACACACAAAGTGCTTGCCAAAAATTAATCACAATAGATTCCTGAACTTGTCAAGGAGCATCAACTATACGTGAACTCCTGTCATCCTTATAGGGGCTTTTGGCTGACCATCGAACAAAGACGGTCACCACATTGTGTACTTTCAGATGCCCATCTGCGGCCGTCTGGAACGCTCTTCTGATATTAGGAAGCCACTGGCGCTATGCACTTTTACATTTAAATTGTAGACTCATTTCTTTCGATCTGCTTTTAGTGTTTCTGGCCCACCCCTACTTGACATCTATGAAAAAAAGCTTCAAAGCTCATTGGATTTTTCCATGAAAAAATAAAGATTGGGATTCTGTTTCCTCATCCTTACGCCGCACCTACGATTAGCACGGTTGGCTACGCGCAGTGCGAAAGAAGTTCGACATAACATACAACAACAATGTGCCATACCGACCTGGACTGAACTTCCATTGGGCTCTCTCTACCAATGCGGTGTGAATGCCGTGTTTACAGCTTGTGCGGTTAGCATGCAGCAGCGAGATGGCTCGTGGGCAATGCGAGACTGAGGGGTGACGACGCGGTTCAGGCACGTGGTTTATGCCAAGTTGTGCTTTTAAATCCTGTGTGCCTTTTCTCCAGAAAAATCTACTTGCACGACATACCACCCATTATTGTTGTAAGCCTCGTCGGAATGTAAAGTCTCCGTGTTTTTTTTCTGAACGCACTTGCGAAAAATCCTTTGGGTTCTGAGAATAACCTCAGGATTAAAACCAAACAAAGTGTAATGCTTTGCGTGGTTGTGGAGACTACAGGGCGATAAATGGAAATCCGCTGGAAATGAACGCCGTGAAGTCCATATCGCCTGCCGTGATCAGACGCTGAATGTTGACATCGGCCCAGAGCGTTGCTTGCGTTGGACCAATGCTGCTGAGATTGTGCACTCCCACAATCTCAGCAGTGGGGCTGATGGACATGTGGAAAGTACTTTTATTTTATTTACTTTTAACCAGAGGGACAGATATGGGATGGAGGGGAATTTATTTGCTAATTATGTGCTAAGAGCACACTCTTAAAGGGAGTGCTCCTAATCTCAGCTTGTTACCTGTATAAAAGACACCTGTCCACATAAGCAATCAATCAGATTCAAAACTCTCCACCATGGCCAAGACCAAAGAGCTCTCCAAAGATGTCAGGGACAAGATTGTAGACCTACACAAGGCTGGAATGGGCTACAAGAACATTGCCAAGCAGCTTGGTGAGAAGGTGACAACAGTTGGTGCGATTATTCGCAAATGGAAGAAACACAAAAGAACTGTCATACTCCCTCGGCCTGGGGCTCCATACAAGATCTCACCTCGTGGAGTTGCAATGATAATGAGAACGGTGAGGAATCAGCCCAGAATGATCTCAAGGCAGCTGGGACCATAGTCACCAAGAAAACGATAACACTACACCGTGAAGGACTGAAATCCTGCAGCGCCCGCAAGGTCCCCCTGCTCGAGAAAGCACATATACATGCCCGTCTGAAGTTTGCCAATGAACATCTGAATGATTTAGAGGACAACTGGGTGAAAGTGTTGTGGTCAGATGAGACCAAAATGGAGCTCTTTGGCATCAACTCAACTCGCCGTGTTTGGAGGAGGAGGAATGCTGCCTATGATCCCAAGAACACCATCCCCACCGTCAAACATGGAAGTGGAAACATTATGCTTTGGGGGTGTTTTTCTGTTAAGGGGACAGGACAACTTCACCGCATCAAAGGGACGATGGACGGGGCCATGTACCGTCAAAACTTGGGTGAGAACCTCCTTCCCTCAGCCAGGGCATTGAAAATGGGTCGTGGATGGGTATTCCAGCATGACAATGAGCCAAAACACACGGCCAAGGCAACAAAGGAGTGGCTAAAGATGAAGCACATTATGGTCCTGGAGTGGCCTAGCCAGTCTCCAGACCTTAATCCCATAGAAAATCTGTGGACGGAGCTGAAGGTTCGAGTTGTCAAACGTCAGTCTCGAAATCTTAATGACTTGGAGAAGATCTGCAAAGAGGAGTGGGACAAAATCCCTCCTGAGATGTGTGCAAACCTGGTAGCCAACTACAAGAAACGTCTGACCTCTGTGATTGCCAACTAGGGTTTTGCCACCAAGTACTAAGTCATGTTTTGCAGAGGGGTCAAATACTTATTTCCCTCATTAAAATGCAAATCAATTATGGATTTTTTTTGTTTATATTCTGTCTCTCACTGTGCAAATAAACCTAGCATTAAAATTATAGACTGATCATTTCTTTGCCAGTGGGCAAACGTACAAAATCAGCAGAGGATCAAATACTTTTTTCCCTCACTGTATGAAGGCCGCCACGGTGCACGTGGGGGTGGGTGCCACGGCACACGCCAGCCTCACGCCCAGTCGCCTTTGTCTCCCCAGTGTTGATGTTTACACACTGCACCAGGTACTCATTTGAGGCTGAGCAGACCCAGCGGAGACCCAGGACCGGTTCAGAATTTCGTCATCGTTGTTGGCCGTGAGCGGAAATTGAACTCGGGTCGCCGTGTTCGTAGCGCTAACCGCTGCGCCACCACCACCCCCAGACCTCCATTCCCACATAAATACCCACTTGGGAGTCAGAATGCAGACAAAGAAACGCACATACTGAGGATTTTGGCTGCGTTTTATTTGCACAGCATTGACAGAGACTGCCTTTCCACCCACATGTGAACCGTGCACGTGGCTACTGTGTGGTGGGGCTGCATCTGGCTCGCCCGCCCGTTAACGTGGCTGCTTTGTGCTTCGCTTCGCAGGCCGAATTTCCGTTGCCCGTCGAGCAGCTGTCCCAGTGGCTGACGGACAGCGTGAACTGGACAGACGCCAACCTCTACATCGCGCTCGCCTGCATCGTCTTCAACCCAACCTTCTGGAACGTCGTAAGCACATTTGGTGACGTGGGGTTTTTTTGTTGTTGACTCTCCTTGTCTGTGATTATTCATTGTCATCATTGAGGCCTATTTCAATACTGGAGAACTCGGCGATATGTTATTGTTATTTCCCAATTTCAATGGGGAGGCCCCCACGTACGGCCCCTGGGTGGTGAGATGTTAACTCCCTCGCCAATCCTGACGCCTGTATATTTGGAGTTTGCGTGTCTCTCTCCCCGGGGTCGCGAAGATTTTTCTCCGGGTCCTCCAGCTTTTCCCTCCACATTTACCCTCCACATTTACAATCGACAACACCACGCGTTTAGAGTATTTGGCTGCTGCTATAAATGTCCACGTGATGATAAGCCACTTCGTTGAGCTAGCATTTGTGATAGCCAAATCACTTAAACAAATAGCTACATAGCTCAGTGGTCCTTACCTGGTAAAAATAAAAATAGCTTATAGGTTTTTTTTAATAGGGCGTATCCGGACCACCCGTGTGCTAAGAGCCACCCCGGTGTTTGGCGGTCACCATGCTGTAAGTTTGCTGAAAGGCTTCCTCAAGAACTGCTCATGAGCTCTTTGGTGGGACTCTGCTGCCCTTGTGCAAACGGGTGGGCTCTGGAACCAAGCCTGACATCTCGAGGTGCCCACAAAGACAAAGATCGCCTTGACAGGCTGTTGGGGCGAGTGCTGTTAGCGAGTAGCACCTACGAAGGCCAGCACTGCACACCAGGGGGTGGGTGGCCAGCAACGTTCCCGGCCGCCTTTGTTTACACTTGCACAAGGTACTCATTTGAGGCTGAGTCAACCTAGAGGATGCCCAGGACCAGTTCAGATAATTGTCACCGGTGTTTTTGGATTCGAACTCTGGTCGCTGGTTTTTTGGCGCAGCGTAGCGCTAACTGCACCTCACCATTGTGCCTGCAGCAGTGAGTTGAGACACGTCCCGGCATCCCTCACTCCCCTCTAAACCACTTGGCCCATTCGTCACTAGCGCCGTGGCCTTTAGAGAGAGAGAGGCGATGCACACGTTCGAGCGATTGCCACATACCTGTATTGTAACCGCGTTGTAACGTAAAATGTTATTGTTTGTCCATTTATTTCATGACATTTAACGAAATTAATATCGTCGTCCGGATGATGTAGCTGTTTTTGTTGTTGTTGCCACATTACGACAGTAGTTATGATGATGGTGGTGGTGGTGTGAATTGTTTGAAGTTCAACTAAAAATAGGTGGCCTGGGATGATGTGTTTTTGGTTACGAAGGTCACGACGACAATGATGATTATGATGATCATATCTGAACTGCATAATGTTCATCTGCTTTTGGTGCCATAAGCTGGCTCATAAAACACTGGCAGATCCTGCTGAATATTCACCATACACACGTAAACGCGTGGTGTTATAACATCCTAAAGCTCCTGAGGCACCATACCGATTGATTGTGAAGCTCTGAGCTTGCCGGCGGCTGTAGCCCCTTGTCGTGTCTCTGCACGTGTACATTTACCATTGAAATGAAATGTAACCGGCAGTAATAATGTGCGACTTCAATAACGCGCTCTCGCAGAGTCCGAGTGCACGGTTAACACAGGCCCTGATTTATGTAAAGACGGTGGTCACTGCACCGCATGCTTTCAGATGCGCTTCTGCGGCCGTCTGGAAAGCTCTTCCGATATTAGGAAGCCACTGGAGCTGTGCACTTCTAAATCGTCATCTACATTGAAAACTAATTTCTTTAGAACAGCTTGTTGAGTTGAGTTTGTTGTCCTTCCCCCGCACCTCCGATGAGCACGGTTGGCTACTTACAGTGCAAAAGAAGTGGAACATACATACAAACGTAACTTACGACGTTATTGATTATCTGGAAACAACATTCTTACCAAAGTCCTCCGTAGGCCAATGTTCAAGGTGCACACTTTGCCTACAAGCGCTCTAATAAAGTATACGAGCCCCGGACGCCACAATCGGTTCACACCAGGTAATCGTCCGTGTAGAAAAAAATGCACAAATTTCCATTTTACAGCACCACGCTGGACCTTGACCCCTCAGGCGGAACTCATCGCGTCTATCGTTTTGCGGCATGCAAAGCAGGAGCGAGAACGGTTCCCTCGCTCCGTGGCCGCAGTCGCCTGCAGCTGCCGGGCGAACGTCGCTCTCACTGTTGCCGCTGACTTTGTTGTTGATGTTGTTGTTGTTGTCAGCCGGTAACTTCCCACCGCTGTGCGCGGACGTCTCCGCCATCCTCCTTTCCCTTACAGCTGCTGCTGTCCAGTCGTGACCTCTGAACCCCGAGGCGGCGTCTCGCCGCCGCCGCCGTCTCCAGCTGTAGTGCGACGCGACGCCTGCGGGCGCTGCTGACGCGTTGTGCCGTGGCGCGACCCCGAATCGCGTCGGCGTCAATAGTTTCATTCCAACGGCCGACCGATGCGTCTCGTGTACGCTGTAAAAATGTTCACTGTGTAATGGGCTTCAAGGCCCCGTGGAGCGTCATTTTGCCCAAGAGAGAGTTATCACGTTGTGCCCGTAACATCAAACAAGTTCCAGTTGCGAATTCAAATGGCTGTCATCTCAATCCGTAAAAAAAAAAAAAAAGGCGGAATGAAAATAATCACCATAACTTCAAGGGTCTAAAAGCCCCGTATCAGCGTGTCATACAAATCGCATTTCCTGCCATAAGCGCCGACGGCCGCTGCAGCGACTTCAAAGGCCTCGCACCGATGCGGCCATCTCATTCCTTATTCCGCCTTCTCCGAAATCAGCTTCGGTCGTCTCGGGCTGCGTGCAATCTTCCTTTTGCAGTCGTAAAAAAAGATACGGGCATGCAAAGTCGGGACAACACGGGCGAGCGTAAGGGGTGCTCGTGCTTGGAGGCTTGTCTTGCTGGCGCGAGACGGCACGGCGTGCTAAGGGTCGCTCGCAACGTCGTGACCGTGGTGACGTTAGCGGGAAGTGGTTTTTCCCGAGTGTCTTTTGGCGCTCGCCTGGTACGGTAACAGCAACGCCGGTGTCCGTTCAGAACGAAATGCAAACGGTCGGGCGCGAGAGTGACTCAGGCGAGTGCCCGCGGGCGTTCTTGTTGTGTGAACGATGAGGAGCATCCATCGCAACTGGACCATGAGTGCAGGCGGGAAAGAGATTTAACAGCACGAAGATGAAGATCTCCCGTGCAGCCTTAACAGGCTGTTGGGGCAAGTGCCGCTAGTAGCGAGCAGCACCTGTGAAGGCTGGCACGGCACACGAGGGGTTGGGTGGCCAGCACCACGCCCGGCCGCCTTTGTCTCCCTAGTGGCGATCTTTAAATACTGCATCCGGTACTAATTTGAGTCGACCTCGGGGGAGGCCCAGCACCGGTTCAGATAATAATAACCGGTGTTGGTGGCCCTGAGCGGGAATTGAACTCGGGTCGCCGGATTCATAGCGCAGCGTGGCGCTAACCGCTGCGCCACCGCTCCTGCTGCGCCACACCCACACTGCCGCGCACGGCTTTCATCCTTGTACAGAGCACCAGCTCAAAAGAACTGTATTGCGTGACATAAAGTGCCAACATGGCCACACACGTTGAAGGTCTTTGGAGTTGGTGGTCTACACCAAGGCTGAGAGGTTTTCATTGAAACGATATTGACGCAGCAGAATGTTAGTGACTAAACATATCTGTTGCTAGGTGACACACGTGGTACAAGATTTCTCAAGGAGGTGTCTTTTTTTTCCGAATCCGAATGTTTATTTATTTACACTGGAGGAATCCGATGAGCTATGAAGCTCTTTCTCACAGATGTCCAGTAAGGGCGGGTCAGAACGTGACAACAACAAACTCTACAACAACAAACATTACAACAACAAACTCTACAACAACAAACTCTACAACAAACTCTACTCGATTTAAAGCTTTCGTGACTGCAAGGATTCATCTTCTTGGTTCTTTCGGTAAAGTCACGTAGAATGAGAATAAAATAATAAATTGATAAAATAAAATAAGGCCGCTTGTGCTGTGGCCGAAACGTCGTGAGAATATTATTGTGTTATTTTATTTTATCAATTTATTATTTTATTCTCATTCTACGTGACTTTACCGAAAGAACCAAAGGAGAAAAAAAAAACTCTACAACAACAAAAACACGATAGGAGTGCAAAGTATTGGAAAGGTAAACAAATCACTTAAAAAAACGCACAAATAAAACTAAACTACCGTATATATATTTTTATCTTACCAAGTAAAAAGCGCGCTGAGCTATTAGATTATAATCGAATAGCGACCTGGCCACAAATAATAGCTCAACGAAGTTGCTTATCACGTGGAAATGTATAACAACAAAATAATAATAGTATCATTAGAGGAGGTGGGCTGGAGGGGAGAGGAGGAGGAGGAGGGGGAGGCGGAGGAGGGAACAAAACCGAATCGAACTTCACGGACTTGTCATCTCTATAAGGGTGCTTGTTACAAGCCCATTTTCGATGGGCCAATTGTCGGCACCGGCTCATTGCGTGGCTGACCCTCTTCCTCCTTTGCCCTCCAAGTGGTTATCTGTCTCTCTCCCTGTCTCCCTGTCTCTCCCTGTCTCTCCCTGTCTCTCTGTGTCTCTCTCTCTGTCTCTCTCCATCTCTCCCTGTCTCTCCCTGTCTCTCTGTGTCTCTCTCCATCTCTCCCTGTCTCTCCCTGCCTCTCTCTGTCTCTCTCTCTCTGTCTCTCTCTCTCCGTCTCTCTCTCTGTCTCTCTCTCTCTCCATCTCTCCCTGTCTCCCTGTCTCTCTCTGTCTCTCCCTGTCTCCCTGTCTCTCTCTGTCTCTCCCTGTCTCTCTGTGTCTCTCTCTGTCTTTCTCTCTCTCTGTCTGTCTCTGTCTTTCTCTCTCTGTCTCTGTCTGTCTGTCTCTGTCTTTCTCTCTCTCTGTCTATCTGTCTTTCTCTCTCTCTGTCTGTCTCTGTTTTTCTCTCTCTGTCTCTGTCTGTCTCTGTCTTTCTCTCTCTCTGTCTGTCTGTCGCTCTGTCTTTCTCTGTCTGTCTGTCTCTGT